CATCACCATCAATGACACATTACAGTTCATTTTCTTGAACCAAGTTCGCCCTTTTTTTTTTTTTTAATCCTACAATTTTTTAAGAATACCAACCTCTTCTTTCATTTCAGAAGTCGAAAATCTGCCTAAATCAATCTTCCTATCATTATTCTACGATAGACTACATAAATAATTTTCTCTTTCGCCTCCACATTTGCATCTTTTCATCAAGAGAATTTAAATGTTTCCTAATTAACAATATCTCTAACACCCGATATAGAGGTCCATGAATTGGAAAGAAAAATGGTGCTTGATTGAAATGCGTTGCAACCTCTTTTAATTAGAAGAATGCATACTTAGGTCCAAGATTTTTTTTATCCAAAACAATAACTAATGGATTAGGCTATACCTTATTAATAGAATGAGTAAGAAGGAACATGTCCTACTTGCTCTATTCGCATACAAAAGAAATAACAAAACTTAGTAAATATAATCATGTAACATCCGAAAGTCAAACCATAACATTTATATGAAAGTTACACATCTTTATTTTATCTAAATTTAGTTATGATAACATTTCAAAATAAAATCATGAGATGCGATAAATTCATGATAATATTGTGAATATCATATGAGATAAAAAAATTCACTTAAACATAAATAACTAGAAAATTACACTTAATTGAATTTAATGAAACACATTACGTATTTGTTTTATCATATTGGAACATCCTTATATTGTTCTAAATAGTTTTTTATTGTCATTTATATTTTCCAACTAGTTTATCAATTAGTCTTTATCAGCTAACGATTACATTTTAAACTAGCACTTAATTTTTAGTTATTCTGTCAAACATAGTCTAAAGGTCCAAAATTTTGACAATCTCAATACGGTCAAGATCATTGATTATAAAAAAAATTGTAAGGAAATTTCAAACTAAACAATATTCGTCACTAATCTTTGTGTGAATTTTGAATGAATTTAACTAAATTTCAAATAATAGCATTTTTTTTTTAATTTTAAGTAATTATGTTTATTTTAAATTCACAAATCTTCATAAATAGTCCATGTAGTTTTCCAAATTATCAAGTTTAGTCCATAACTTTTCTTCGGTCAGGTCCCTGTGGTTTCAATTTTTATCGTGGTTGGCCCCTCACTCATATGAATAGACTTAAGCCCTTTTTATTTTTTATTTCTTATTTTTTACCTACTTTCAATTTTTTTTTTGGAACGGCGAAATTTTATTAAAAAAACTAGCAAGAAGCTAGAAAAATGAAATTACAATAAATTACAAGCAATGGCAGGATCATGAAGCCATGAAGTCCAAGATATATTAGCTTTACTACACCTATTTGTGACCCAAACATAAGAATTTTTTACCACATCATCAAAAATGACCGATTTCCTAAGTAACACCGTTCCAAAGATAATGGAATTACGGAAATTCCAAATACACCAAGAAGCAGTTATGATCACCGCATCAAAAGCTTTCCGTTGACCACTTCTCCAAGGGAATGAGTTTGACCAAAACAAGATCGAATCCATGGAAAGATGATGAGGAAGCTGAACACCACACCAAATGGCAACCCTAGTCCAAAGATCAATCAATTCACTACATCCTAGAAACAGATGATCGATGGATTCAACTGTAGTGGAACAAACTGGATACAAGATCGAATCCAACAAAATACCCCTATGAGAAAGATTTGCTCGAGTAGGCAGCTCGTTTAATCTTAATCTCCAAATGAAAATATTCAACTTAATTGGAACCCAATTATTCCAATAAGTTACGCCACCACCTGTAGGCAACATACCATTGTCAATAAAAGACCTAGCTGAAGCAACCGTAAAGTGGTCAGACGAATCCAAGAGCCATCCCAACCGGTCAGGACTGGTTAAGTTGTAACCCCTGGCATCATAATCAAAAAAGCCTCCCACTGAGCCTGCTCAATACCACCCTGAGGCAATCTCCTAAGAGACGAAGTATGCCAGCCCATCTCCACCCTATCACAAACTGAAGCAGATTTATGAGAATCTAAAGCAAAGATCCTATGAAAAATCTCTGCAAGTGGCCTATCCCCTTTCCAAGTATCCTGCCAAAAAGAAGTCCTGTAACCATCACCAATCCGAGTCGGACAAAGAGAAAGCAAATCAAAACCACGATCTCGCAGGTAAGACATCATACGGATAACACCATTCCAAGGACCCATCCAATCTTTTTTTTGGGAGTAAAGAACCACAACCTCCATCCGACCCATAGATCACTTTGACTAAGCGAACCCAAATGAGATCAGGGTTGTGAAAAAAGCGCCACCTCCACCTAAAAAGCATAGCCCTATTAAAAGATAAAAGACTACCAACTCCAAGGCCACCTTCTTTTGTACAAGCCAGCACCCTATCCCATTGGATCCAATGCATACACCTGTCATCCAACTCTGCACCCTAGAAAAATCTAGAACGGAGCATCTCTAAAGATTTAAGAACCGAGAGGGGAGCCATGAAGATGGACATTAAATAACTTCCCAGGCTCCCTAGAACAGACTTTATCAAAGTTAAACGACCACCAAAGGAGAGACTTTTCACCTTCCACCCCGATAACTTGGAATGAAAACGGTCAACAATAGGGGACCAAGCCGAGACCCTGGACATACATTGACCTACTGGCACACCCAAGTGAACAAAAGGTAGGCAATCTGGGGCACAACCTAAATTGCAGGCAACCAACTCCACCTGATGATTAGAGATGCCAACCCCAATCAACTTACTTTGTTGCAAATTAATTTTTAGCCCAGAAGCTAGGTAAAAACACCGCAAGATACGAAGAACTGAATTAGCATTTTTAGGATCCCAAGGAGAAACCAATACGACATCATCCGCATAAAAGAGATGTGAGATATCAATCCCACAAATAGAAACACCCCTAAAAACATTTTAGAGATGGGATTTTTGCAAAGCAACGTGTAAGCCCTGCATAGCCAAGATAAAGAGAAAAGGAGACAAAGGATCTCCTTGTCTCAATCCTCTATGAATCTGAAATTCTCCAGTAGGCGAACCATTCACTAAAACCGAAGCTCTAGCCGATCTAAGGAGCTCCAAAATCAAAGAACACCAAATGGACCCAAAACCCATGATTTGCATTATCTCCAAAATATAGTCCCAAGACACCGAGTCAAACGCCTTTTCAAAATCCACTTTAAAAATCATCAGCGGAATTTTCAAAAACTTGCTCCAAGCCACCACCTCATTAAGAAGAAGCCTACCCTCACCCCATTCTTCTCTCCCATAAAACTCACAGGAGCCCTCACTCTTACCCCTTGTCGGTAACTCTCACATCCGGCTACCACCACCACCATAATGATTCATCCTAGTCAGCGACTCTTACATCTGGCTACCACCACTTACATCAATTCAGCCACCACCACCACTACACATTGTCGTCAAAAACAACTTGCATCAGTTCTGTCACCACCACCACTACACACCCTTAATTTCAATCCACACATTCAACCCTATGAAATCATCAAACATACATTTGATAAAATAATAATAATAATAATAATAATAATAATAATAATAATAATAATAATAATAATAATCCATTTTAACCCAAAATAACCCTTATTTCAATCAAGGAAAAAATCCACTTCCGGCAATCATCATCGTTCACCTCCGGCAACCACCACGGTGGCTTGCTCAAACCCAAAAATTATGTAATCATTTCTCAAAACCATGACTTAAACCCAAAAACTATAGATGAATAGGTGTTTAAACAGAAAGCATAGATGAAATCAAACCCTAGAAAATCATGGATAAAATCGAAATCAAACCATTCTAAACCAAATCTAAACATGATGAAATTTAAAGGGAATGAACTAGAATCCAAAAATTAAGTCGATATCAAGAAAGCAGGAAATGATGGTGGTTTTCTAGGGTTTTAGTTGGTGGTTGTGGGAAGAAGAAATATGAATAATAGTGGGTATGTGATGGTGGTTTACAGTAGGAGAATACGGGAGAGGGAGAGAGAGACAGAGATAAACAGAGAGAGTAGAGAGGTGAGAGAAAAATCGAAAGCAACATGGATGGTGACAGAATGCTGACGACCTAAGATTTAAGGGGATACCGACGAGGATCATCAGGAAGAGGATGGTGTTTGTTTGACGACATCAAGGAAAAAGGAGGTAGTTGTTAGTTTCATCATTGTTCATAAAACAGGTGAGTGGAGGTTGTTGATCTCACCAGAGAGAGAAACAAGAAGAGGAGGGAGAGCACTGGTCACGTCGTAGATGGAGATATATGAGGAAGAAAGACATACATGGTGTGGAGTGAGGGGGAATACATAAATGTTTTACTTAGGGTATTTATTTTATTTATTTTTAAATAATTTTTATTAAAGAAAAAAAGGGTATAAAAGTCTTTTTATATAGGCGATGGACCAATCATGTAAGAAATTGAAACCACATGGACCTTCCATAAGACCAAAAAAAATTAAAGACTAAACTTGATATTGTAAAACGCAAACCATTGATAAATATTTGTGCTTTAAATTTGTTATATTCAAATTTTGATCAAATGTGAATAAACTTTCAATAGATGATAATAGCATCAAATCCTAAAATTCAATTAAGTCATAATACATTACTAGTATAAATTAGTTTCACTTTATTGCAATAAAAAAATAAGAAACCATATGAGACTAACCTGCTTGGTAGAAACTTTCCATTTTAGATCGGAGGTCTTGGATTCTATTTCGAGCATTGACGAATTTTACTAACTTAATGATATTAACTTCTAACCACTAATCAACCGTTCAAATATATATATATATATATATATATATATATATATATATATATATATATATATATATATATAACTTCGAAACATATTTCCAGATAATAAGTAGCATATATATTGTCCATATAATAAGTAGAATATATATTGTCATCTTTATTTGTGATTAGACATATTAACAAGCTTATAAAAATGTTTTTTGGAATATCGTTACAGAACATGAGTGTGTTCAAAGTGACGAATAAATCGGTACACCTGGTAAAGTGGTTCCTACATCTACAATAAATATGTTACCAGTGATGTAGTTCGATGAGTCATGGATTAGGTATCTAACCAACGAGGTCAAAGCAGGGTCGATAGTGCCAAATTCTCTCAATGGTATGATTGTTGAGGCCACGTTCTTAAGCTTTTTATGTTGAAAGAGCACATTTGTAATCTCGGATTTAAAAAGGCCAGGACATATTGAGTTTACCCTTATTTTGTGGTTCCCAAGTTCCATGGACATCAATTGTGTCATGGTATTCAAGGCTGATTTTGAACAAGAATATGCGATACTTCCAGGAAACTGAACACGATTAAGACCCGAAATAGAAGACATGTTGATTATGGATGCTCCTTGATTGAAAGCAAGCATCTGACGAGAAACATACTTCGACACCAACCATGATCCTTTAAGATTTGTTCTAAAGGTTTTTTCCCAATCTTCTTCTGATAAATCCATTGCGCTATCTACCGGGCCTAAACACATGATGCAACATAAAATAAAAAGTAAGTGAAGATTGAGATAAAGATCCTAGAATTTTACTTATGTTACATTAAACATAAATTTATAACTACTTTATAGGGAACTGAAACATCTAATAGATCGAGACAATTCCAATAAGAAAGTGATCTAAATCTCAACCCCATATAATGTTCTTAATTGACATATATAACAAATCTAAACTTAAAACAAAAATGGATATAAATATATCACCGCTATATAATAATCATATTAGATAGTATTAGACATTAATAGAGATTATCATACTTTACATACTTACATTTAGTATAGTTTCCATATTTAAGTATTGTACTCTATAAATACCTTTGAGATCAATGACAAATATAAAATAATATTTTGAATATACTTTCCATATTTAGGTTTAGTTTAGTATAGTTTCCATATTTAAGTATTGTATTTTATAAATACATTTGAGGTCAATGAAAATCATAAAAAAGTATTTTGAACATATTATATGTTATCATCGTATCAAAGCATTACATTAAACCATGTGTCATCGACCACCACGTCCGGCGACATTATTTAGCCATCGCCAAAGGTTCCTTCCCTATTCACCTCCTATCATTTTGTCTCTTAAAAACCTTGTCGAAAATTACTTTTCTCTACAGTGATATATAATTTATATACCTCTCTCTACTTATTGTATCTATCTTTCTCTAAACCAAGCCATCAACCATACACCACACCATATCCTTATCTTTTTGTGGTGTTATTTTCCTTTTAATAATACCACACCCAACCCTCTTATACAAAATTAATAAAGTCCTAACCTTTTGTTCCTTAATCCATCTCCTACTTCTATCAGTTAAACTTCTTTTATTAGTTTCTTTTATTAACATCATGACTACTCCAAAGCCTCCATCTTCCTTTCTTGTTCCTAAGGTCAACACTGATTTGGTTCTTCATCTTTTTATGTTCTCAAATCACGCTTCTTAGTATGTGGTTTCTAAACGAAAAATAAGTTTTTTTTTAATTCTTTCTACCCTTTTTATCCCTCGGTCCATATAAACCCACAGAACAAGCCATTCATATACATGCATTATATATATATATATATATATATATATATATATATATATATATATAAATCATTCATGAATTCAACAAAATCTCTAATATAATATCTTGCATTGGTGATAAATAAGCCTCCATATGACATTTATGGTGTATATCTCTGCCTTTCACTCTCTAACCTTATCTTCTCTTTCTTTAAGGATAAATCACAACTCAAGAACCAAAAAGTTCATTACAACCTTCAAGGATTAGGTCACTACATCCTAAACATTACAAATACTATCGTTAAAGAGCAAGCTATTATGTTTTTTAGATCCATTTTCTACAATCCAATGATTACATATTCTTTTCAAGATTAAGACAACACAAGAGCCACTTTCAAGCTCAAATTTCAACATCAACAAGCCAATGTAATTTGAATATAGTTGCAATATATGTTCACCTCCTACTTATATATATATATATATATATATATATATATATATATATATATATATATATATATATATATATATATATCCAGTAAGAACGAAATATTTGGTAGAAAATATAAGAAGTGCATCATTTGTATGAATTTTGGCGAATCAACAAAATGAATCTTTAGATAATACAAAAACATTCTGATTTGCAAAAACAATTCCCAAAAAACACATCAATGCTTCATTTTTTAGATAAGTCACTAAAGTTGTCTGAAAAGTGAATTAAAACTTGATTTAGTAAAAAAAAAAAGAATCATCAATGTTTTTTTTCGAGATTGTTTTATGAATCATGTTATTTTGTATCATTTAATGATTCATTTCGTTGATTGACCAAAAAACATGCAAATTGTGCACTTTCTTACCCTTTAATATATATATATATATATATATATATATATATATATATATAGTCAATATTTTTATTGAAACTTTGGTCTCACACAAACAATGAAGAATATATATATATATATATATATATATATATATATATATATATATAGTAATGTGTCAGGTATAAAACCCTAATGTTAGGGTTGTACCCTATATAAGCTTAATGATTAGCCTCCTTCTTCATTTCTAAGTCATCCTCTTCCCTCTAAAACCCTAAAAATCGTCCTTGAGCCTTCATGGTGACATTTTGAGCTAGTGGAGTCCATTTGTGGGCGTGTTGGGTCCATTTCCATGAAGATGGAGCATGGTGCAAGGATAGGAATCAAGGAAGAGCTTATGGATCTTGCTTGTGTGTCTCATTTCCAGTTTGTTGGAGGTATAAAGCTTTGAACTTGATCATTGATGTCTTAGATCTATCATTTATGAGTTTTGGTTCATTTTGGTCCCAAGAATGAGATCTAGTGGTTTTGATTCCATTCCAGGAGCTTTGAGTTGCCCCTCTTAGTGTTTCTGAGGTTCAAGGTCCATAAAGTTGGCACCTTTAGAGTTTAAATCCATCCATGCATGAGTTGGGGCCATTTTCATGACAGTAGAATCTTATATTTTGAGTTTGGGTTCATTTGGGGCATGCAAAGTCACCAAGTAAGTGGCTTTATGGGTCTAGACATTGTTTAGGACTCAGATATGTGGTTTGAACCTTTGGTCTAGGCATTAAGTGCTTAATGGAAAAAGTGGGCTTAAAAGAGGAGTACGTTGAGCGTAGAAGCAAGTACGCGCATCGTACAGCTGGGTATGTCCTGCATACTCAGTCGGAATGGACTTCACATTTGTGGGCCTCGGGCTGGGCCATTTATTGGACTTAGTTGTTGTGGGCCTTCGTGGACCATCTGGAAAACAGGTTTTTGGACCAAGGAAATTATTGGGCTTTAGGATAAGGCACATTGGAGAGGTTTGGGCCCAATTTGGAAAATTAGGCCATAAGTGGGCCATAATTGGGCCTTGGTTGATTATGGGCTAATGGGCCATCGGAATGCCAAGTTTTTTGGACTAGAAAGATGGTTGGGCATTAAGGTAAGGCCCATATAGAGGCTTGGGCCCAATTTGGAAAATTGGGCCATTGATTGATTAATTGGCCTTTGGGCCTTTCAGATTATAGTTTGGGCTATAGTTTTGGACAAGGCCAGGTTAGGGGTAAAATGGTCTTTTTACCCCAAAGTTTGAAGTTATGATTATGGATTAGAATCCAATTGTTAATTGGGTATTGTTTTGTTATTGGTAGTTGACGAGCTGTCGGCCAACAACCAAGGGTTTTATGTGTGATTCAGCAGTGCGATGTGAGTCTTCTCACTATATCCATGGGTCGAAGGCACCAATGCCGGCCCATTATGTGTTATGTGGTATGCTAGTTGTCTCTGTGATACTTGCATGGAAGACCCCGGGGGGAGCCCGTGACAATTGGATGTCAGACCATAGGGGGAAAGCCCATGGCATTCCAGGTAAAGACCATGGGGGGAGCCCATGTCATAATAGATAAAGACCATGGGGGGAGCCCATGGCAACTATATGTATGTGCATGATAATTTGTGGTATGGTATTTTGGGGAACTCATTAAGATTTGAGCTTAAGGTTTCTAGTTTTTGTTTCAGGTACTCCGGTTTTCAAATGGAAGAGCTCGGGAAGATTGCAGAGCACACACCACATGGTTCCGCATTTTGTGAATTACTCTGGTCAAAATATGTTTTGCTAAATATTGGTTACTCTGGTTTTATAGAAACACTCTGTATTAACGATTTATTAATTTTTTTAAAAAAATTTATGTCGTGATTTTCGGGTCGTTACAAGTTGGTATTAGAGCCTTGGTTTGAGGGATTCAGACGTAATCTCGGGTGTGTCTGAACTCAAACTGAGGGCTTGTTAAAGTTTTCAAAAGAAAAGTATTTTAAGAAAAGAGTTTTCTAAGATAAGAAAGGGTGTTGTGGATGCAATCAGCAGGGCTCAAGTAAGTTTTCCCAAAATACCCATACGTGTTATTTGATATGATTTGATTTATGCATCTGTGAATTGCATGCTAGTTAGGACTAAGGATCTGCTCAGTTCTTGCACGATAGAATGCTAGGACATATGCCTTTGTATTTATATCGTATGAGCTGGTAGACTTGCATGCTCGTGTTGATTAGTTAGTAGTAGTCTTATATGATATGTGATACCTTGTTGCTTTGGATGTACTGGATGCTATGTTAGGATAGGAATATCTACGAGAATCAGTAATTGTTAAGTGTATGCTTTAAAAATTGTACACGGTTAGGATCTTATTTCCCTAGAATAATTGATTTGGCCCTATTTCTTGTTCCTTGTCTGGTTGTGGATCTAGGGTAGAGCCTGTTCTTCGACAGTCTATTTGATCATGTTATGTTTATAATTTGCATGCATAAGGCAACCGGTAGTAAGGGTGGAATTTCTAGCATAAGTGGTGGTAAGTGGGTTGATCGTTGTATGATAATTCTATGGATTGGAGCGTTACTGCATGAATGTTGCTTGCTTTGTGCTTTGTGGAACTCTTAGATTATGGGAGTCAACTACTAAGTAAATATGATGGTATTCATGAGGTGGATGAATGACATTATGGGAGTTCCTCAGCAGCTGATGGCAGGGTGAGGTCGAGAGACTAGGAGAGCCTAGGGATTTCTTCAGTAGGTTTTGTTGCATTGTTTAGTGAGCTCTGGTGTATTAGTGGAGTGGGTGACTTAGAGGATTTAGGATGATTCTTAAGGAAAGTATGGATAGGTGTGGAAGGTAGTATTGGCCCATACTACTGAAAGCAAAGGATCCATACTCGAATCAGGGAGAGTCTTGGAGAATCTAAGAAGTTGGGGAAGAGGATTCTTGAGTATGTTTTGAACTTCTGCATGATCGTATTTCAGATTGTTGATGAGTTTCTAGGAAGGAGGTTTAGGTTCTGGTTCCGGCCCATGTAAGGGTATTGGCCGATTAGTGTGTAGATGCGGGAATTCATCTCGTTGAAATCTATCTGCGGTGTTTTGGAGCAGACTCCTGTGATCTTTGGTTCGGTC